TGTAAATAGATGTAGATATAGAGATACAGATATAGATCGAGGTACAGATAGATTGAAGTGTACATACATACACACACACACATATATATATATATATATATAATCTTATCAAGGCAATCTACTTAATCTAAGTCACTTGAACAGATAACTTATATTTCATTTAGATTTGATAATATTAGACAAATAGAAGAGAATTAGCACAAAATTTAATTAACTGAATATTTCACAAGTGAAATTTTGTTGCCATCCTGCTATTTTTTTTAAGTATCATGCATCTACAGATAAATATACGCTAACCTCCTGAATTAACATGTTTGTGTGCACACACTTAAGTATTTAGTATGACCATACTGCAGTAAATGTTGCCCTTTATAAACATTCAAATACAACTTCCACTGGTTCTTTTGTCCTTCTTGAAAATAGTATAATTACAGAGCGGTCAACAAGTGGAATGTTCTCAGATCGCCTCGGGACACGAGTTGAATTTCTGCTGATCAGCCACTAACAAATAAGGTCTTTGTTGGTTTGTTTTGTGTTTGTCAATTCTTTGGACTAATCCATCTAAAGTTAATTTTGAGATCCCAATGCAGAGGAACCACTGCAAGATGTTCAAACTAACTGGGAATCCCATATTTTTCAAATAAATATAAGTTATCACAAACACCAAAGGGATGTTTTTCCAATTATTGTTACATTTTAAAATTATTTTCTTATACATGAATGAAAAAAACCACAAGTGAAGTTGAAATACAATTGGCATGCGACGAGTCATCAAGTCCTTTTGCGTTGGGGTGTTTAATTCCTGCTTGAGTGATCATCATCGACGAAACAGGGATGCTGACCTTTTTGGTAACTAATAATTTGGTCGCCTGGGCTGTTTTTAAGCAAACAAGAGTGGGCCTCTACTCTGTCCATCCAATTTCCTAGTGCGTAAATTGGACCACCGCTTGACAATTCTCTATTCATTACAGTGGCGCTGAAAGGAAGCACAGAGGTGGCAGAGTGGTTTTCTTTTTCCTTTTCCCGTGTATGGGCGCGTGGTATGTATGTATGGGCGAGAGGGTGAGGAAGGGAGAGATAGAATGGAAGCAGAAATCCCAAGCATAAAGAGCTGGACTTTTCCTTCATTCTTTCACTTTGGGGGAGGGGAGAGTGCGAAAGAAGGGTGGGGGTGTGGGAAGTAAAAGCTGTCGTAATTGAAACGCGGCCTAATCAGACTCATTACCATTTTCACCAATTTGCACCACCAAAGATGCTTATTAGGTAACTGTGTTTAATAAGCTGCTCTTTAGAAAACTCACTGTAATGAGCTCTTTAAAGTCAGACTTGAGCGTGATTATACACACTGGAAGTGTTTTGCAAAGCCAAAGTGGACCGGTACATGTAACCATATACAATGTCATAATTAAGCTGCACAAACTGAGCACTTCACACCAACAGCACCGACTAAGGCAGAAGACACACTGAAAAGTATTTATGATTACTTATCGTTACAATCCAAGGATTTTCATCACTGCCTGTAAACATAATTATGAAAGTGCTTGGTTTTATTCTGCACTGAGTTTTTCTTTTTTTTTTTATATATATATATGAAAAGCATGTAAATACAGCTGACAGACAGCAATTATGTTTGTAAATAAAAACAAGCTCAAACTCGTATTCAAATTCACTGGGGATATTTTGAGTAAGGGTGGGGTGAAACATTCTGCCACGATGTGAAATGGTAATCGGTGCGGCTACAGACAGCCATTCATCTCACATATCAAGTTAAGACAATTTAAACTCAATTTGGAGCTCCGTGTGGCAGTAATTCCCATCTTTGGATGGCAGGGTGCCATTTAACCCCTCATTTACAAAAGATAAGCCTTCCTCAGTCACAGTCTTTTCCACAGATACTGTCCATACATTGCAGTGTGGCCACCCATGGCAGCAAATTACTACGTGTCCACATCTTTAAAGCCCACTGATCCCTGTTAATGATATTTCAATCAAGGGTGGAGAATGACTGTAAAATCCTGCTCTTCCAGTATTTTAACCTGCCAGTTCAGCAAACAAATCTCTGTGAAAAGATCTTTGCTTTGCAAACAAAATTACTTCTGATCCTTATATTAGCACACGAGTCAAATCTACACCAGAGGTGCTATAAATTATTTTTATTCACTATGCTGATTTAAAGCAACTAAATGTCTGGGTTATGAAGGTTTTCAGTTATTAAGGGCATGGTCATGCTCAAAGGTTTACAGAAAAGTCGTATTTATTTAATCTTTTTTAAGGCGCTGAAATCAAATTGTATCATGTGGCGTTTCAAGCTTTTAAACTGAAGTGTTAATGTTTTTAGGCTTGGAGCGCTGCCTCTTTAATTTGAAAAGAAAAAAACTTCTCACATGGGACACAAAATGTTTAAGAAGAAGCCCAGATGTTTGGATCATCTGTAATGAACTTTGATTAAATTAAATAAATAAATTATTTACTTAAATATGCCTGTCTCAGCTCACATCAGTTCTATACAGTATCATCACATCATTGGAATATTTTATTTGTTAAAAATCTAATTTTATTAGGATGTTTTTCTGAGAAGTTATAAAATATATGTTTTTGTAGCATATCCAAAAACACAAACATTTTAACAAAATGACCAAAAAACTGGGTAAAAAAGTTTTAAGGTAAAAATAAAAACGAGAAAATTAAAACAAAGAAGAAAAAAAAAAACTAGAAAAAAGTGTTTGGATATTATCAAAAATCTTATTTTGCATGCTTATGGTCAAAG